CAGTATTTTAGTTTTACTTTTATTTATTTTCATACAGTACTGATCTGTCAGTACCGCTTCCATTTTATTTAAAGCTATCTCTAGGTCCTCCTTGCTAGATGCTAATACTGCTATATCATCTGCAAATCTAAGCATACTAATCTTTTGCCCTTGTATATCTATCCCTACAGTTGTACTGTCTTTAATGATGATCTTAATCCGAATAGGGCCTGGCAACTTTTTCAAAAACTATTGCAGGTACTTTAATATACCTATATATGATACAAACACAAAAGTATATAATTTAAGGTACTATCTGAAGCAATTGCAGATAAAAAACTTCTGAAAATTACGACTTCTTATATAAAAAAGTTACGTTTCTTATAAAAGGATATTTGAACTTTGTACACAGGTGGTGTGGAAATATTATTTTCCACGTTTAAGGACACGTGTAAAACTGACGAGTCAGAAATGTAATAAGACGTTTCATGTTTTGTCAGTTTTCAATTTAATCTTGGTTTCACTCTTGTTACTGAAAATGCGGTAAAATACATACAGGTAAAGATACGAGCTGTTATAACTGAAGTAGATCCGATAGTGTGAATTGAAAAGTACAGTAGTTATTCACATTATTTAGTTGTCCACATAAACGAAAGTTATATTCAATATGTAATATCACTACATAGTATAAAACAAAGCCGCTTTCCCGCTGCCTGTCCCTATGTATGCTTAAATCTTTAAAACTACGCAACGGATTTTGATGCGTTTTTTTTAAAAGATAGATTGATTCAAGAGGAAGGTTTCTATGTATAATACATGCATAATATAGTACGGAAACACTAATAATCTTAGAGGTTTCTAATGTGATGTCGTAAATAAACACATTTTTTGCGCTTACATTGCAAACGCTGGCTGAACCCTACGAGATAGATCAGAATATTGTACTACAATATTGTACATCTTAAAAGGGTCTACAAAAAAGTCCGCGAAGGTATATGTCTATCTCTTAGGGATAACCCACAATAACCATTTTTATCCTTTACTTTTTATGAGAAATAATGACTTATTTACGAAGCAATTGTAGGCAATACAGCATTAATTCTTATCCAATTAAGTGCATTATATACATTTTGCATTTAATATAGATCAATATGGCCCTCTGCAGCATGTAATTTAAATTAATATTTTCGAAGATATTACAGATTTAAAATGCAGGGACATAGCGGTTGCGGCGGTACGGGAGGCCGGTTTTTGTATTGTCTAATGACAAAAAAATTGTGAATGTTGTATATAAAGACATTCTGTAGTATATTTAGTATGTTCAGGGGGTATCTTTTGAAGATTTCCCCTTTTCGATAATAATCTAAACAAAACAAAAATATATTTAGTATCAGCGTTGCACCCGTGCGGAGCTGGGGCGGGTCACTAGTATTATATAATTAACAAATTAAATAATCGTACAAATATTAACGTAGAGTCCTTATAAAAGAGGAGAAATAGAAAGTAATATATTTTGGTTTTCCAATCGAAATTTCACGCATTACATAATACATACGGAAATTACTTAGTCTGTATATGCAGTACCCAAATAGCGTGTATCCTTTTTAATGTGGATCTATATGTATAAATAAAATGATAGGCATGCGTTACGCAACACGCAAAAACTACTGAATCTGTTCTTATGAAATACTTTCAGGTTTGTTACTTATACGCTTGATCTTTACCTTCAATAAAAATTCTCACGATATTCCTATTTGGTACAAAGTTGTACGAGTTCTCTTGCCATTCGGAAGGATACGGTGCGCACCTACGGTAAATTGACGGAGTTTCTACTTCTGCCTCATCGCAAAGTATTGTATTTACACGAGCGTTCAGATGGTGTGTAGTTTTATAATACGAAGTCTGTTCAAAAAGTATCGCGAATTTTGTGTTTTTTCAAAAATTATTTATTCATGAATATCTATTTTGTCCCCAACAAAGTAATCCCTACCAGACATTATACACTTGTGCTAAAAAATCATATTTTGTGATCTTGCTCGACTCGTCCTTCGGTGCCGTCTTTATCTCCTCAATCATAGCGTAGTCCTCTCATGGGCCTCTTCAGTTTCGGGAACAAGAAAAAGTCACAGGGGGCGAGATCTGGGGAATACGGTGGCTGCGGAATTATGAGTGTGCTGTTTTTGGTCAAGCAACGATATGTGAGTAGGGGCGTTATCATGGTGCAAAAGACATTTTTTGTTCTTTCAAAAATTCGGGCGTTTCTGGCTGATTGCTTCGCGCAAATTTCGCAAAACTTGCAGGTAATATTCCTTATTGACTTTTGTACCCTGTGGCAAGAACTCATGACTGCAATTGAAGAAAACTGCAAGCAAAACCTTCACATTCGACCTAACTTAGCGCGCTTTTTCCAGTCTTGGTTCGTACGGCAGCTTCCATTGGGATGATTGAGGTTTGGTTTCCCCGACATAATCAGAAATCCATGATTCGTCACCACTTATGACCCTCTTGAGCAATTTTGGTAGGAATTTCGCGGCGACTCGTCTCATGCCCAAATCATTCGTAAAAATTGAATGGCAGGAGTTAATCGATATGTTCAGGTCCTCAGCAACTTCTCTAACGGTGATTCGACGATTGACCAATACTATTTTCTTCACTTCATCAATGTTTTCGTCTGTTGTTGACGTTCTCGGGAGTCCTGCACGCTCTTCGTCGTCCACATCTTCTAGGCCGTCTGAGAACATTTTGTACCACAGAAAAACGTTGCTTCGGCTCAAGGTAGCTTCTCCATATGCCACAGTCAACATTCAGAATGCGTCCGCGCACTTAATTTTGTTTTTCACACAAAATTTGATACAGATGCTTTGATCCATTTTTTTGGAACAGGCAATAGAGCCGTGCAAGCAATGCAGCTATCAAAAATTAACTGAACATTCAACATGGCTACACTTGTCAGTATAAGTGAGAGACATAAGTATTAACATAAAACCATAAAAAAATCGAAAATCGAATATACAAAACCCGCGGAAACTCAAAATTCGCGATACTTTCTGAATATGCCTCGTAAAGTAAACCAGACAGGAATTATGTGGTACCTGAATAAAATAACATCTCTCTAGCTAATACATAATACGATAAGAAGTACGAAAGATATCTAGATTTTACAGCAATCATATATCGATTTTAGACTAATTAGCATTGGTTATTAAAGAGAAAACCATTAATAAAATAATTATCAGAAATACCTTTAAACAAGTTACCAGTTTAAACGAACAGTTCGCTATCATTCAAGATTTCCGTTTATTTAGGGAAAAACTACGTGTCACAGTCCTCTGAGTGTAGATAATTGTTTGTAATGTATGATTTTCTTTACGGAGAGTCTCCAGTTAAAGTCGTATTTTTAGGAGTCTTTCTATCTAGTTTTCTTTTTTGAAAAAAGTAACTATTGGTTCTATAAATTTTTTACAATCAGTCAACCGATTTCAGATAGAAATATTGCACGTATTATATTTTAATATGTCGTTTTCTTTTTTATTGAAGACATTCTTTTAAGGACACTGCCACTTTTACTATAAATATTCTATTATTGGTTTCTAATGTATCTTTTGTTGATATATGAACAAGTTTATGCTTGCTGAAGCGTTAAAACCTTCACCTAAGAAGAAGTAGGACACGCTTCAGATTTTATTGTTATAGTTATTTGTTATTAGTTTCACTAGAATAAAATTCGAATATAAGAAGGTGCGAGTGTGATTTAAGAGGTGCCGGTCGATTGCCTAATAAATTGCATCGTCATGAAAAATTAACTTGATCGAATAAACTGTCCACTTTTCCAAAGGAACGAGTCGTTTTGATTTTATCGCTGAGCAGATCACCTTTGAAGTAAACTTTAGTACCATTATTTAGAGCATATACGTGGGAGTAACAAAGCATGACAAAATAAACTTCTACTACTCCTATTTCATGAATGTAGAGGCATTTTGAAACCTCATGGGTCGCGAAATGCGCGAGAGAAGGAACATATTGAACTTGCTTAAAAACATTGACACTCGATTGTTATCCATGGGTCTCGTTATACAACCAACAACGGGGCACCAGATTAAGCTGTAAAAAGTGACGATCAATGTTTTTAATAGATAGAAATACATAAATAAATGTCACTGCGCAGGCTGACATTATGGCTCCTGAGATTTTGAATTACTTCTAACTTGATGTCTTCTGTATTCGATGCGCATTTATCGCTTGCAAATTCGGCTAGGCATATTCTGGAATTTTCGATCAAATTTGTACTATTGCACACAAGCTTCATGATTGCATAAAGCATAATAGACAAACATTTTATTTATTATTCGGAATATATTAAATGGCAACGAAAATAAGAAACTTATTAATTCGTACATAAATTAGTCAACTAAAAAAATCAGCGAAACTTGTGTGTTTGTTTCATAACATTAAACGCAAAGCAACAAGAATTACCGCCCCATAAAATCAAAAAATGAAATCTCAGTCAACCGTGGGCTTCAACGATTTTGATAGCATTGAAGAGCTTTTCAGAAGAAGATTTTGAAATAGAAGAAATAGGGAATAAATATTGAAGAAATTATCTATCTACTTAAAAATTTAAGTGACACTATTAATTATTATTATACAACAAATGATCATTATTTTTATTAGAAGTGATCTATTTAAAAAATTCTGCATTAAAACCGTACCATATTAAAGCAAACCAGGGGTTCCACGGAAAAAAAACAGAAATGGGTTAAGAATCGCTGTAATAGATCATTTAAGATATTCTGTTCAGATACATTTTCTAATTCAACTTAAAACGTCTTAACATCGTCGCATATTTTAAAAGAAATTTAGACCTGACTTAGAACAAAGTAACAAGATAAAGACATTTTTTATGTAATATAGATATAAAGTATTCGACATTATATCGAAACTCGAATAAAAACTCTTAAAATTGCAACATGTATTTTTGTTAACATGCATGCATGCTTTTCAGTTTATTGATGTCGAGACACGGGGTTGAAATGATAAAATGGAGAGGAAGTCCTGTGAAAAAGGAAGCGGGGCCTATGAGTCGCAGTTATATGTATTTATCAACTTTTCTTGATGGTTACTGTTACTTTTAAGTATCGATCGACTAAATTACACTCTGCCACTTACAGAACCCTCGAAAAAAGTGTAACAAACGAGGAAAGCTGATTGCTCACATCTTGACTTGATGTGGTAAAAAATGTCCCCGGAAAATTGATAGGAGTGGTCTGGAAGATTAGCAATATCAGTCAGGCACCCGAAAAGATACCGGGATTTATTGGAAAAGAGCGGAAAATCGATACCCTAGCGAGTCGGATGTTTAATACGTTTACCGTTGATACTGTTCTTGTTGTCGCCATCTTAGTTTACTATTTCAAACGGATAACGTTTAATACGGCGTGAATGACTCATAAAGGAAATTGATACTGAAATTGACTTTGTCCTTTCGTGCTTTCAAGCAAACATCGGATAATCTGTTAATTTAATTAGTAATTACTCATGTGAATCCATGAATTCATTGAAGTGAAAAAGGCGCTTGAAACAGGCGATGCCGTAGAAGAAAGTACATTGTCTTCGATCGTAAAAGATTTTAAACGTTTTGAAGAAATCTACAATACAGTGGTGATGGCAAAATTGACCAATGTGCGACCCGGCTTGAAAATGTTTCCGGCCCGCGAGATTCATTATAAATAGTTTTACAAAATATATTTATTTTATAACTAGCTGCTCGCCCCGTCTTCGACCGGGGATTTTAAACTTATTTAAACAGAATAATTATCGCTGCTAAAATGAAATGACATATGATGACATTGAATGTTCATTATTATCTCCTTTATTTACTTTAGATCTTAGGCTAGGTTTTTTATAAAATGCATATAAAAAGTAAAATAAAAAATACAGTACAAAATATAAACACAGTATAAAAAACCTAACCTAGGGTGCCGCCAGCAACGGGGCAGGGCCCAAGCTACCGGCGGTTAGGGCCGCAGAGAGAGGAACCTCCTGACAATGCGCGCCGTGTCCAGGATTACCGCCTTCTGTATCTGGCCCTTGATCCAGCCATCCAGCGAGAGATTATTATTATTATTATTATTGTAGTGCTTTGTGGTATACGATGTTTTTTGTTTGATTACCTGGCGCATAGATAAACAAATCTGTTGGTTTTCCAACACGGGAACAGGCAACATACAATTGACCATGTGAGAAACATGGGTTTTCTAGATTAATACCACAAACACTTAATGATTGCCCCTGGGACTTGTTTATAGTCATAGCAAAAGCAAGCCGCACTGGAAACTGTAGTCGTTTAAACTCAAATGGCACATCAGTCGGAATCATTGGGATGCGCGGTATGAGAACATCTTCTCCTTTATACTTTCCTTTGAGTATAGTTGCTTCTATCACATTGTTTAGTAATTTTTTTATCGCTAACCGTGTACCGTTGCAAAGACGCGGTTGGTTGATATTTCGCAACATTATAACCACCGATCCAACCTTTAATTGAAGATTGTGAGGTGGCAATCCTGGCAAATCCAGCGAGTTTAAAAATTCCGGTGGATAGTTGACTACATCATCTTGATTAGTAGCCGAATCAACTGATTTATATATCCTCAATTCGCCTGTAATTTGTTCTTGAATTTTGAAATTTAATTCATTTACATCTATGTTTTTTGCAGCCAGTATAGCTCGTTCGCTCAACCAATCATGGTTTCTGTAATTTTGAGAAACATCTGGAAACACCTTCTGAATAAGTTCATCTTTTGATCGAGTTAACTGACAAAAACTTTGAGGAAAGTTAATGCAGCCAGTCAACATGTCTATAGGAAATTTGCCATTACCAATGTCAATGAGTTGTTTAGAGAATATGT